GTGCTGAAGGGCCCCCGCGGGGGCTCCGCTGGAGGCGCCCGGCGCGGCCCGCGCCGCCTCCCCGCCCCTCCCAAGGTCGCGGGGGCACCGCCACCCCCAGTCCCCTCCCGCGCGTCGGGGGTCCCGCGGGGCGTCGGGGGCGGAGCGGGGCATCACCGCGCAGCGCCCGGGCCCTGCGGATCTCCGGCTGCATTCTCGGGAGTGGAGCTCGATGCTGTGCCGCACCACCGGCTCGTTTCCGTGACCTCCAGGGCTTGTGGTGCAGCGGGGAGGGGGTTAATCTACCCCACCTAGCTGAAACCCTCCAAGGACGCTTTCCTCCTCCCAGACCCCAGTGTTGTGTCCTCAACCCCTTTTCCCGACCAAGTCGGGAAGAAGACAGTCTCGGGTACCATGGACTGCTGGCAGAGGGCTGGGGACTGCATGCTGGCAGGGAGAGCTCTGGGCTGGCAACCCCAGGGCCTGCCTGGTCACCCCTGCAGGGTGCCTGTGCCCTCTGCGCCCCTGTCGGGGTCACCCCATCCCTCCAGGTGCCAGTGCTGTGCTGCCTGGCCCGAGCACTCACCTGGGGTCTACCTCTACCACATCCTCTCCGGCGTCATGCCAAGCCTTCCCTCTCCATGCTTCTCTCCTGGGCCCTGTGCCCAGCCGTGCACCCAGAGGCCACTGCAGGACCCTTTCACTGCTGGGTGAAGCTGGCCACTTCACAGGGCACCCTGCAGCTGTGGGGGTCTGTCCATCCCCCGTTTCCCCCCATCCCCTTGCTTCATACTCTCCCTCTGCACAGACAACCTCTGGAGCGACCAGAGCCTGGAGACAGATCCTGACCTCCCCCCAGGCTGGAGGAAAATCCGAGACTCTCTGGGCACCTACTACTGGCATGTGCCAACCGGCACAACGCAGTGGCAGCACCCTGCACACACCACCAGCCCGGGAGGGCGCCTGGAGGCTGATGGAGAGGAGACATTCCAAGGAATGGTAGGGGATGTGGGCAGGGTGGTGAGGGCTGGTGTTGGAGCCTACCTCCTGGCAGGACCCCGCTGAAGGGCCCTTTGGGCATCGCTGCTTGGAGCAGGCCTGTCTCTGTCACCCCAAAGTCCTGCTCTGCCCATTCTTAGCCAGAGTTAAGCCTCTTGAAAGGCTAGAGCGTGCCCCATGTTGGCCTCATCCTGGCTACGTGGGATGCTCACAAGCTGAAGTGCTGCTGTCCTGGAAGGGAGGGCTCCTACCTGCTGCTTCCTGACAGCCTCTCTTGCTGCCCTCACACCTTTTCTCTTCTCTCCCAGGACTGCCAGGCCCCCAGGACAAAGCACTCGGCAAAGGACAGGCCCATTCCCAGCCCCATGGCTTCGCTGTCCCGGAGGTAGGGCTGCCCACATGCTCTGCTGGCTTGTGGGGCATAATTGTGTCACCCCACCACAGCAACTCCTCACACTGGAGCCAGCAGGACCACATTAGTCACCTCCATGGAATGCTTCCCGGCTGGTGGCATTGGGGGAGGGGGCGTGGCCTATGGTGCCAGGGTATCCTGATGCTTCTCTGGGTGCCCCAGCTTTGTGCTGCCTAGTGGGAGCCATCCCCTCAATGCCCCGTTCCTCTGCAGGACCTCACTGCCCTGGCACGGAGATGACTTCCAGCGCAGCACAGATCCTGGCTCCAAGGTACCACACCTGGGGGCTTCACTGTGGGCTGGGACTGGCAAAGAAGGGGGCAGGCGTCAGGGATAGGGCTGGGAATAAGAGCAAGGGTGACCATGCTGGCACAGTGAGGGGTACAACATGGGGGTAATGTGCTGGCCAGGCATTGAAACCCCACATGTCGCTGCTCAGTGCTTTGCTGTGCGCTCGCTGGGCTGGGTGGAGATCCCCGAGGAGGACCTGGCACCTGGAAAGAGCAGCATCGCTGTCAACAACTGCATCCAGCAGCTCTCCAACAACAAGGGCTCTGTGGAGAACCGGGGCGAGGTGAGAGCCTGGGACAGGCAGGCAGGGTCCCATCCTGGGGCCACTGCTGCTGAGGC